TTTTTTTATAGAGGTCTTTCACTTCCTTTGTGAGTTTAATTCCTCAATATCTTATTTTTTTGAAGCAACTGTGAATGGTCTTCTTTGCAGAATTCCTTGTCATCCTATTCATTGTTGGCAATCACAAATGCTAATGATTTCTTGTGTGTTGCTCTTGTATTCTGCCACTTTGATGAAATTGGTGATTAATTCTAAGAGTTTTTTGTACAGGTTTTTGGATCTTCTATGTGGAGAATCATGTTCTCTGTAAATAATGATAACTTGAGTTCTTTCTTTCCTAGATGAGTCCCATGTATTACTTTCTATTGAATAACTGCTCAGAGCAATATTTCAAGTACTATGTTGAATAGCAGATGTGATAGTGGACATTCTTGTCTTGTCCTTGATTTCAGGGGACATTTTTTTGTTTTTCCCCATTTAGTAGAATGCTGGCTACTGGTTTGTCATAAATAGTGGGATATGTTCCTTTTATACCTGTTTTCTTCAGTGTTTTTATTATGAAGGGGCATTGGATTTTGTTGAAAGCCTTCTCTGTATCTATCCCTGTACCCATGTGTTTTTTGACCTTGCTCTTGTTTCTGTGATGCATTACATTTTTAGCCTTACTTATTTTGAACTATACTTGTATCTCTGGGATGAAACCTACTTGATCAGGACGGATGCTCTTTTTAATACTCTGCTGCTTTCTATTTACAAATAGCTTGCTGAGGATTTTTACACCTATGTTCATTAAGGCAATGGGCCTGTGGTTCTCTGTTTTTAATTGGCTTTTCCCTGGTTTTGGTTTAGGGGTGATATTGGCTTCCCTGAATGATTTGGAGAGCAGTGCATCATGTTCAGTTTATTGGAAGAGCTTGAGGTTCATTGTGATAAAACATCCTTAAAGGTTTTGTAGATTTCACCTGTGAATCCATTAGGGCTCAGGTTTTGCAGTGGACAGAGTATTACTGAGTCAATTTTGTTTGTTACTGGGATGTAAAGCACATTTACATCTTCTTGGGTTAGTTTTGGTAGTTTGCATGTGTCTAGGACTTTGTTCATGTCCTCAAATTTTTAAATTTTGCTGGAGTTAGTTTTTCACACTAGTTATTGCCTTCTGGTTTGGACAGCGTCTGCTGTAATTTCACATTTTTTTCAGTCTCCGTTTCATTGATTTCTGCACTCATCTTTATTATGTCCCTCCTTGACTTTGGCTTGATGCTGGTTTGCTGTTGCTCCTCAGGTATCTGGAGGTTTCTCATAAGGTTATTTACCTGCACCTGGTTCTTTCCCAATGTGAGCATTAACTGTGAACAATTTTCCTCTTAGATCTGCTTTCACAGTGTTGCAGAGGAATTGTTGAGGTGCACGTTCTTGTCATTCATTTCCATATTTTTAAAAATTTCTCCTTTGGTTTTTCTCTGTTACCCATTATTTGTTGTGGAGTAGTTTGTTAATTTTCCAGGAAATTTTCCCTCTCCAAGATATCTGCCTGCATTGATTTCATTTTCATTGCACATAGTGGACATGCGCTGCATAGTGTGCATGGGGGATTTCAATTCTTTTATATTTATTTAAGAAACACCTCGTGGACTAGTGCATGATCTATTTTGGAAAAAGTACCATGTGCTGCTGGAAAGAATATATATTATATTATAGAGGGATGGGATAGTCTGTATATATCTATTAAGTCCATGTGTTTAAAGATATGTTTCAGCTCTGAAATATTTCCATTAGTTTTTTAGTTAATCTCTCTGTGTGGAAGTAAGATGTCTTAATTCTATGTCTTTTGTTTTTTGTTTTTTTGTTGTTTTTTTTTTTTTGTACAGGGAATTCAAATCAAGATCTCACGCTTACCAGCAGGCACTTATGCCACTATGCCACATTCCTGGCCCAAAAATTCTTTAGTATGATTGTGTTAATGTTTATTTGATCTTTGAATTTCAGAAGTTTTTGCTTTTTTAAGATAGACACTCCAGTATTTGATGCATGTATTCTGATCAATGCTATCTTTTTGTTGAATTTTTCTATTAAATAGTATGTAGTGATGTTCTCTGTGTCTTCTAATCCATTTTAGCTTGACATGTACCACGTCAGATATCACAATTGCTACCCCTACTTGTTTAGAGGTTCCTGGCACATGGAATGTTGTTTTCCATCCTTTAATTTTTAGTCTATGAATATATCTTTGGATTAGGTAAGTTTTGTGAATGTAACACATTGTTGGAGTTTGATTTTTGATTCTAGTCTCCCAGTCTGTGCGTTTTGCTTGGAGAGTTGAGGCCATAAATACTGAAATATTATTGAGTGGTGTTGGTTATTTACTATCACTGCTTTGTTTACTTGCTCATGTATCATTTTTTTGTTTTGCTTTTCCTGCTGTTTTTTGTTGTTTATCCACTGACCTCACTAATTTTCTCTGTATTTGTCCGTGTGTCCAGTCTGTTGTTTCTGTGGAGAATAGTGAGCGTTCTCTCTAGAGCTGCTGTAGCACTCGTATATCCTTTGAGCTGGTGTTACCATGGTAATATCTTGTTTCTCCATCTATTTTTAAATGCACATTTGCTGGGTAAGTTAATCTAAACGGGAAGATATTGGCTCTTAGAGTTTGAAAGACTTCTCACTCTTCTGGCCTTCAAATTTTGTGCTGGGAAATCTGCTACAGTTTTAATTATTGTACTTTTATTTGTGATTTTCCTTTTTCCTTGGCTGCCTTTAAAATTATGACTTTTGAATTAAATAAAGATTATTTGAATTGACTTGCATTTAAAAAGGATAAATTTAATAGAATATGCCTTGGTAAATTTCTGCTTTCATCATAATCATTTGGAGTTCTATAAGCATCACTTACTTGTATTTTAAAAACTTTTCTTGTTTGGGAAGTTTTCTTCCATAATTTCTGTAAGCCTGTTGGTGAATCCATATGGGCAATTCTAGATTTTCTTTAACTCCAATTGGCCTTTGATTGTCTTTTCTATTATGTAGCACCTGCTGGGTGGTCTTCTCTTGTTCTCCTGTTTTCAATTGGATTTTTTGAGCTCTTTGTCATAATTCACTCTTTTGTCCTCAGTGTCAGATACTCTGTCTTCACATTGGTCATTCCTGGAATATATGAATGCTATACTGTTTTTCCTGCCAGATGTTGCTTTCTGACTTCTTTTTGAAGATTCCATACCCTTGCTGAAACTGTCATTCAACTTTTGAACTGCTTTGACTAGCTAGTCCAGTTTTACTTATTCCCCCAAGTTCACTGTGGGCATAGTGAGTGTTTTTGCTGTAAACTTTTCGTGCATTTCCTCTTTGAACTCATCTATTTTTTTCATCTCTTCTAAGCACTTTTCACAGATTTCTGCTATCTGGCAATTGTTTCCTTTCCCTTCGTGCCTCCTTGCCCTGCCTTGGAGGAATTGGAGGGGCATTGGAGATCATCTATCTCCTTATTTCCCCATTCCACTACTTGTACCTGTATTTATTTGATTACAACTATATATGTATATACATATTTAAATTATATGTGTCCCCTTATCTTTTCCTCCTCCCCATTTTTGGTGCAGGGGTTACTAGAAATTAAGGACAGTGTGTGGTTATATGGAGCATTTTAATAGAATGTTACCTCCTATGAATAATTTTCAGCTTTATATGTCCACTGCTCGTATTTACTATTTCTGTGACTTACTTTATGTGGTTTTGATTCTGTCGCTCTGTTTTGCCACAAGAATTCCTTCAATATGTCACCCACAGATTCAGTCTACAGCATTTCTATATGATTGTCCTTGCAATTACTCTCCCCTCTCTAGACCAGGGACAGGACCTAGACACTTATTAAATTAGAGTCAATGAACTTACAAATATGCAAGTGTATCCATGTAATATACTCATGAAGTCATAAAAGAACATAAAGTCATGCTACTAAATAACTCAAGAGACATGAAGAACTTAAACCAACAAGATGTCTGATGGGAACACAGATGAGATACTCCAATGAGCTACTGCCTATGTGATTCCCAAGTAGCTTCTTTGCCTGATTGTAGTCTGAGCGTTCACATCCCAGTTACACCTGTGCCCCTCCACTGCAAAGCTGGGGTTAACGCAGACTCCGACCTCCTTCTGCCAGGTTGCTGGCATTTTTGCAGAGTCTGATCCAGCCCGAGTTCTTGGGTAAGGGGCTCCCTCTGTCCCTCTCCCTGGGTGTGGTGGTGGATTTCCAGAGAAGTTCACAGACATTAAGTTGTCCTCTGAGTCAAAGTGATTGCTGTGCAGTCAATTCAACTGCAGCAGTAAGTGTCTAACTCATTTCAGTGGTGTCCATCAGGGTTGGCTGAGAAGTAACACAGCGCAAGCCGCTGTTGTGGATCTCCCTTCATCAGTGGGAACATGGTGCCCTGTGAGCCTCCAAAGCTGACTAACTCGGGCTGAATCTCCTGCCTGAGTGCAGGTCCCAGCACTGTGATCTCCAGTCCCTGCCTTTCAGCAGGACTCACTGCCATCTGCCCTCCACTGCCCACAGGCTCCAGTGACTAACTTTCCCTCCCCAACCCTGGGACCCTGGCAGTATGAAGTCCCCAGGGGGCTGCTCTGGGATTGAAGTCCAGACTCCCAGCGCTTTCCCACAACGTCTTCCTGGCCGAGCTGCACTGCAGGGCTGCGTCCTGGTGTAAGGCGGATACTCACCACCGTTGCCGCTGAAGTTCACTCAGGACAGAGACTCATGTTCTTCCCACTGTCTCCCACTCCAGATTTCAGACCCCTTGTCCTGGAGAAGTGGAGCTGCGGGAGCTCACTGCTCCGCCATCTTGTCCTCTCTCTTCTGTGTTTCTTGTTGCTGTTCTCTGAGACTTTCCAGTGTGGCTCCTTCCCCACTCAGTCGTATTGTAGCTTCCAGATCTTCCTTCTTAGTGGATCTATCTCAGCTTCTTGATAGTACGTTTCCTCTAGAAATCCATGTTGAATCTTCTATTCTACACTTTTGCTTGGTTCAGAAATAGGCCCGTTATTTGACTCCAATTTCTGCTTTCCCGTAGATGAGGGTGGGGAGGTTAAGAACTAGGCCCAAGTTGGTGGTGGCTGAGCCAAAGTGTGGAGTCCACAGCTGTGAATTTGGCCAGGTAATAGCCCTCAGGCCTGAGCATTCTGATGGAGACACAGATATTAATTTTCTAGAGTACACATAGATAATATCTCTCTACTGTTTGCTTAAGAAAAACACTAGTGTTAATGTTTTCACATTTAGTTGACTTATATGATAATGTATATGACAGAAGTAATATATGCTTTAAAGCAATAAAATATTTGGCACTATTTTAAAATATACATTTTAAGTCCCATTATTATGTGGTAAGGTATTAAAGCACTCACTGACTGAAATTCTTCAACTGTAAAATTATAATGCTCCCAAAACTCAGGGTAATAATTAAATACACTGCTTCATATGAACTTGACTTATAATCCTAAGTAAACTGGAGAAACCTTAATGTAGCCTAAGGTCATGTGACTATTGCACATTTAGCCTAAGGCCCTATGATCTCTTAGACTAAAAGTGAACCTGCATCTCCTACTTTATCTCTGCTCATCAACTCTCCAAGCTCAGCAAGTGAGCTGACCTGGTGTCATCCTTGTCTTGTCAGAAAGCCACCGCCATGCCTGCCATGCTCTCAGCAATGATTCTGTCCTCTTCTTAATCACCTCCAGGGCAGTTCCAAGTGAAGGGACCAAGCTCACCAGTCATTGTCCGGGTCAGAGAAGCAGCTGTGCTTCCCTGCCACCTCAGCCCACCCACGGATGCTCAGAACATGGAGATCAGATGGTACCGAGACCACCAATCGGTACTGGTGCACGAGTACAGGGATTCTCAGGACCACATGGAGCAGCAGAGTCTCCAGTACCAAGGGAGGACAGAGCTCCTGAGGGAGAACATCACCGAAGGCCAGGTGGCCCTGAGGATCCATCCCATCCTCCCTGCAGATGAAGGGCAGTACAGCTGCGTCTTTGTAAGATCCACACAGCTCAGCCAAGCACAGTTTGAGCTGCTTGTCACAGGTGAGCAATGAAAACGCTGAAGTGTTTTTTTTGTTTGTTTGTTTGTTTTTTTATCCAAGCAGGACTCAATTGAATGTGTGAAATATGTGGCTTTGTCTGTACAAACATCATAATGGAATCTAGGTGTTAGAATTCAAACATCTAATTAGTCCTTGGAGAGCAATTTATTCTTTTATAGACAAAGTTTCCTATAGATATTTTGCCAATATAGTTGCTGAAGGGCAGGTTAGATCATGGAATCCAGTGTGTTTTAACTCCACGAGTCTCAGAACTCATCTCAGTCTAGGGATTTCCTTCTCACCTGCTAGAGCCAGAGGGAGGTCCACAGGGACAGGAGGGACCTGGGCAGCCTAGTTTTGAAGCCTGGGTTTCTACAGCTCACATCCTTCCATCCTGGCTGTGCTCCTTCCTATCATCAGAAACCTGTGCTGTGACCTTCCCTCCTCACCAGACATTGACAGCAGGGAAAACCTGTCCTGAGGAGATGGAAGGGTAAGGGAGGGCTCATACTTCAGCCGTGAATGAGCCTGAAGCATCTTACTGTGCAGGTGTCTCTGGGCCATCTGCTGAGCTCCAGGAAGGGCTCCTCTTGTTCTCTCTTTAAAGAGAATCAACAGAAACCAAACAAACCACCACTAAGAGCAAAATTCTGATCTTTGTGATGCAGCAGGAGGTAGATCTCCAGGTCCACCAATCTGTGTATGTCTCCTGTGCTTCTCGTCTGTGATAATTTCTGAAAGCTCTTGGGAGAATAATGTGTGATCACAGCAATTCTGGCAAGGACCCAAGTGACTGCTGTCTCTCAGTTACCTAGAAAAGCAGAGAGTCACACAATTCTTACACATTTTAAAAGCCTCCATAAAGGAGACTTCCTGGCCAATTTTATCCAGAAAACTCTTTTTCCAGAAAAAAATGCTGAAAATCACAACCTTTATTCATGTATCATTCAGTGTTTAACTGCAGAAACAGATATATAACAGGAGATACACAAGTATATAAGCACTTAGAAGACTGGCTGATGATACTCATCCAGAGTTGGATGAGGAAGCATGCAGAGGGTATCTGCACACTAGAGACCAAAGGATTCAGTCCAGGTCTTGGAGCTCACTGCAGTGTCTCCCTGTACAAGTCTATCAGGAGGCCGATGGGTCTGTGATGGAAGGTTGAAAGGTCTACACAGGAAGGGCCACAGTCTACTCCTGAAGTCCAAAAAATCTGAAATGGAAGCCAAAGAGTCTGCACTAGAAGCCAGGAGATGACATCCAAGCCAAAGGTGAAGCCTGGAGCTCTCAGAACTTCAGAAGCCAGTCCATCCTTCCTCATTTCCCCTTTATATTCTTCCAATTACAGGCTGCCCTAGTGTAGGTCCTAGGCACACCTTAGGGTGTAGGATTGCTGAACAGATTTTTTAAGCTTCTAAACATCTCAAGTTGATTCAGTCAATCAAGCATACAATAACTCTTTCCTCACAATCTCTGGTCCTGGGGCAGAGCTCTGCCCCTGTCTGGGTTAGGAAGCCCCCATATTGCAGCTGGTTCCCTGGACTTGGCCCTACAGGGGCCCACTTTATGCAAAGGGCCAGTGCCCGGCGGACGCACTTGCCCAGGAGCTTGCAGGGCTGGGTGAACCTGACCTTGCTCCTCCCTCACCCAGCCTCACCTTCTGGTGAGATCTTCACTCTCCTGTGTGGACATCTGGGAAGACCCTGACACATCCATTCCTAGAGGCTCTGCAATCATTTTCCAGAATGTGTGCAACTGTGTCCAGTAAACCTTTACTTATGTAAATTAAAAGACATCATGAGTGGCTTTGAATCTGAAGCCAGCTCCTCCATGTGTCTCCTGGCCCATTCCTTCATTCCTCTGCAGCAGCCCCACTTGTCCTGTCCCAAGGCTTCTCTTCTGGCACGGACGGATTCCACACCATGTAGGAATCAGCTTCCCTGGGCTCCACTTTATTCCCGCATACTCAGCAGCACACACTTCACATCCTGAAACTCCTGGCTGCACACCTGCTGTCCTGCCTGCCCTGGAGTTTGTTCCAACAGCAGCAATGTTGTCCTGACCACCTGCTGGGATCTCTGTTTGGATCTCATGGGTCCAACAGGAGAGTTTATCAGAGGCATCACCTCTCTGAGTTCTAGAAAGAGTAAGGCAGTGGTGGTTGTGGGTTCAACCTGGGCACATCAAGTTCAAGAGAAATTTAAATGAATATGAAGCCAGTGTCAAACTCCCTCGTTTCACTGCTTACACCCACCAGAGACAGTGTGCTTTAATCCCACTCACTTCTTTATGAAGCTCAAGCAAACACAGCACGTCCAAGAGGTTCAGTTGGTTTTCTCATGCTGCGTGAGCAGTGAGATAAGTGGAACCCTGGTTTGTAGGTGTAATGTGTTCCACAAACAAGCTTCTAGTCCAGAGCACTTGTACATGAAAACAAATTTCTGCCTGAATAGTGGGACCTCAGGTGATTTATTCCACAACCCCAAAGTATTCATGTAAGAAGATTGCAATGCTCTCATATAATACAAAGTAATAAAGAAAATACAAAATATGAAGGAAAATGAACAAATTCACCTGCCCTTGCCTTGGAAAACCTTCATGGCTGGTTGAGGGAGACAACAGAGGGAAGGTCACTGTAGGCGGCAACTTGCACTATTACAAATGGAATCACTGCTGTCTGTTGACTCAGTGGAATCTTTTCCTTTTTGTGAAACTTTAACAAGAAACCTGTCCACAGGCATTAGCTTTTTCTTCCTTTTCAGCATTTGCTGGGATGTGACACTGCACTGTTATTAAACAGATGCATTGCTCACACTGCGACAGCCTTATTCTGCTGTCGGTTTTCTACAGTGTGCTGCACTCTTTCCTCTATGTCACACATCGCCCTAATCTCATTAGATGTGAGGGATTCCTCTGCCTTTTTTTCCTCCTCATCTGCAGAGATCTCCTCCATCACCTCTGGCTGTTGGTAGATGATCCTCTACAATCTCTGAGGCTGAGAGAAAGAAAGAGAGAGACAGAGAGAGAGCGAATGACCACTGGCTGTGTTGTGGTCATGTGTCATTTCGCATCAGAGAGTACTCTTTCTACCAGGTATCCCTTGACTAGCAAGTTAAAGCTATGAGAAGTGTTTCATACTCTTCTGGAACACGCACAAAAGAAGTCACTAGGTTTTACAATAATCTGAACTTTATGTCCTACAGCAGAGTAGTATATTTGTAGATGTAAGTTTTCACACTGTGTCCTTGAGATTCAAACACAAAATAATAAGTTACCACCAGTATGTTCTGCAGAACCCAATTTTTTTTGCATAGACATATTGGTGCCTAAAGTCACTGGTGTCTTTCTGTATTCTCCAGGAAATGATCTCTGTTTTTAATAAGGTGTGAAACATTTTGGCTTTATGTTGTCTTTTCTCTTATGATTCACTAGAAAAATGACATCATCTTATACTCATTCAATCCTCTTTCTTGCTCCACATGAGCACATCTCAGAGGACACCTGAACCCCTGGGCTGATTGCTCAGAGCTGAACCTCATGGACCCTCTCAGGAGCTGTGCTTTCTTAGCTGTGTGGCTGCTGGTCCTCATTTCTTTAGTCTGCCCTGTCCTCCTGGAGGAGTAAAGTGAGGAATCTGTTCCCCCTGGAGATGCAGTCTCTGTAGGGACCCAGAGCCTCTCTCTGCCCGCTCCTCACTGTTTCCCTTCAAGGAGACGCTGTGCTGCCCTCAGCAGGGCGGCTCTCCTCCAGAGCTCAGAGCTGCAGCTTCCCCTCTTGCTCCTGGCTGCGTTTTCCTCTCCCCACCTCCTTACCGAGACCGGTCCTGTGGACAGACACGGCATGGGAGCAGGTGAGGCATCTGCTGTGTGCACTGCCCTGCTGCACGCTGGGCTTCGTCCTGACCCAGTGCTGCTGCGAGGAGCAAGAAGCAAGGAGCCTGGGTGGGAGAGTGGGAGGACACTGTGAGGTCTGCACGGCCTTCACTCTGAGGCCCCAGCTCCCCTGCAATGGAACCTTCACATCCACTTTGAGGAGGACCCCACAGCAGCCCTGGGGAGAGGGGAGAAACCCTGGGGAAAGGATCAGTGCCTTGCCTCATGGTCACGGGCCAAAGGTTGCTCAGGGCACGTCCAGCACAACGCCTTCACTGGCATGCTGAGTCCAGTTCTACAGGCAAGGTGCCCGGGGCCCGAGTGGTGCTTGGCTGGCAGGCGTGGGCACAGAGCTCATGCACTTAACCGTGCCGACCCGGTACAGTGTCCTGGCCGTGCCTTGTTCTGAACATTCAACCTGCATTCATGGTAAGTAAAATGGAGCAGTTTTTAGTTACTGCATCATGTTGCCTGTGCCACACACACACACACACACACACACACACACGCGCGCGCGCGCGCGCACACACACACGTGCGCGCACACTGTGCTGGTGTCCTATGGGCTGGATGACAGTGACAGGACCGTCCCCACGTCACAGGTTCCTGTGGGCAGTTCTGCTGCAGATCAAGAACAGCTAAGTGAATGCTGTGAGATCAACCGTATTTTACACAGAAATCCACGGGATGCTGTGTGATCTGCAGCTCTCAGCTTCAATTAGGGGATAGATCATTTCAGCATCCACCTTGGGGAGCATCAGGTGGAAGGATAAATAAAGCTTCCAGGGGATGGAGAAGAACGAAATAAAAGATATGGAACTCTTTGGTATTGTATATTTTGCCAGTGCTGATGTAGTTAATTTCATTTCTTTAAGGTATTGTGCAGGGAAATACTTTATGTGCAGCGTCTGTGCAACTCAGTTTTCAGAAACACAGAGCTGAAATTCATAGAGGTTCATTAGTAATCACCAGTTGACTGGCCCACCTGATGTGTTTATAAACTCAAAAAGATGAATTATTTTCCCTCTTGTGATTCCTCCAGCCTCAGGTACTCCTCCTCACATCCACATTCAGCCTGCGCACACCGGGAGCCTTACGCTGACCTGCTCATCCTCGGGGTGGTACCCAAACCCTGAGCTCCAGTGGAGGGACCCGCAGGGACGGCCTCTGTCACCTGGCTCTGTGAAGGTGTCTGTGCAAGATGACGGCCTGATTGATGTGAAAAGCTCCGTCACAGTGGAGGAAAGCTCAAGAGCAGATGTGTCCTGTTCCATCAGGAACCCTGTGCTCAGAGAGGAGAAGGAGTCCCGTCTCTCAGTGGCCGGTGAGTTCCCTCAGAGCCCTCATTCTGCGATGTCAGTGCTGAGGCGGGAGGTGGACTGGCGATGGCCCTGATGGAAAGACTGGAAGAGTGGTCCAGCTCATCCACCTCTAACTCTTATTTGGAAAGCTAGTTCAATATACCTGTGTTGCTATTTTTTATTTTAGCACAGTAAACTCACTATTTCACTTCATATTAAATGGTGTCATGGATAAGCAAAACATGTAAGTATAACAGACTATTTTGAGGAACATGTGGAAGTTCATTCCAAACTTGTCAAATGACATTAGCAAGGGTGACACTTGCATAGCAGTATGGAGCTTATCCTTCCTCCTATCACACTGAATTGAAGTCCTGGCATTGCCACCTGCTGGCCTTGTGATACTGGACAAGTATTAGCCATTGTCTGTCCAGTTCCCTGTTCAGTAGGTATAATCACACTATGTCATTAGACCGTGGTGAGCAGTGACTCACGTCAGGCATCCGAGGGCGGAGAAGAGCTGCACGCCGCAGTCTGCGCTGTGCTCCGTCCGCAGTGACCGCTCCCAGGAGTCCGTGTGGCTCCGATGCCCCTGCAGCTTCCGTGACTGCTCTCCTCAGTCTCGGAGGAACTGCGGAGCCTGTGAACTCGCTGCTCACTCCCTGTGCATTTGTCCTCTCCCCAGCCTCAGCTTTTGCCCCTTTCTCGCCTTTTCTCCACCGTCTCCCTCCCCACCCCACACAGCACCGCCGCCCCTGGCGCTGACTGCTGGGCTCCTTCTGCTTCTCCCAGGAGCCGTTCCTGCTGGTCCCTGAGACCTGCGCCCTTTCCAGGAGCCGCGCCCAGCAGGGCCTGAACTGAGCGCCTCTCCACGGTCCCCTGTTTATTCTGCGTTGTAGTTTTCTGTATCCCTAAGTGAAGTATAAACCGTTGTAGATACTGTGTTCTATATCTTAAATATCCCCACTAATTGGTAAATTATTTGGTGCCAAATATATATTGCCAAATTGATAAATAGATTAGTGTCTGAAGGAATTAGTAAAACATGTCTTTTTTATTATTCAGTTTGGTAACTTACACACATCAAAGGTAATGAAAATGAGAGCTTTTGAAGTTGAGATTGTAAAAAGAATTGTGCATCAGAGGAGTAAGTTTCTACTGAGAATCTTAGAAAAACAAAATTTGAGATGGTGCAGTAGCCCACGTGTTGTAGCTAGGCTTTCATGCCAATAGAGGACTGCAGGATATTTTTCAGATAATGAAGAGTCGGAGCTAAGAAATATAATTGTCTTTAATCCTAATGCTAGAAGATGCCTGAAACCTGTATAGTAGAGCACAATGTACATAAAGAATGAATCTTCATATTCATAAAATTTGAACCGTTATGCATAAATAATTAGACAGCAATTATCTGACTAGCTGATTACCATGTAAGCATATTTTTAACATTATGGATTGAAGATAGCTCTTGAAGGAGAATGTTCCTATTTCTCTTCTGACTTCAAACCATTGCAGATACAAACCCTGAAAACACAGTCCTTCTTCACATTTAAGTTCACCACAGCTACACCTTCAGATGAATCCTTGCTATGAGCTGGAACTGCCCTTCAGGTGTGGACTTGACATCTGAGTGTTTTATCCTCTGGCATGAGTCCACATCCCCACCTCAATTGTAGTGCATCCCCACCTGTGTCCTCACATAAGGCTGGGCTCACAGCTATGGACAGGTGGGAATAACTGGACAGAGAGGACCGGGGCAAGTTCCCTTGAAGAGTGAGGGGAAGAGAATCTCCTGTACTCAGTGCACTTGTATTCATGAACACTTTTGCACGTCCCATGTATAAATATGGGATTCAGTCTGGATGGTAGATGCATGAATATCTATTACACTGGCTTATATATTCAGCGTGTTCCCATAGCTTCCAAATTACTTAAGACCTTGCTGGGTCTCACACATCAGGGAAGCAGGGACACAGGAGACCCTCAGATCCTGAGTTCCTGAGAGTCGCAGGGGGCTGAGGCTCAGTGTCTCTGCCCTGCTCTCTCCCTGGAGAAATTATCCGAGGACTGGAGCCCAGCAGCCAAGTCAGCTGGAGTCCAGCTGGGTCTCAGCAGCTGCTTCCTGTCTTTCAGAGGCCTTGTTCCCCCGGGTCAGCGCCTGGACGGTGGCACTGGCTGTGCTCCTGGTGCTCCTGGCCTTCAGCTTGGTGATGGCTGGTTTTCTCCTGCGGAGATCTAGAAGAGCCCAAGGTAAAGGGCGAAAGAGTGTGGGTTCATTACTTCATGGAGGGGTTGTGGGACCACAGTTATTTACCAGATGTGCTGGAAAATCTTGTTTACTTAAAATTCAATAGGAGGACCCTGAGGAAAAAAAATTCTTTGATTTGCACATTTTTGGCTCTAATCAGGGATTTTTCAGTGTTTTCCCTCTTCCCAGTCCCTCCTCTGTTGATTCTTTCTGAACTGACCCTGTTTCCCTCCCAGCATCCAGGTGACCCTCATCTTGGAGGGCTCCACGTGCCCCCAGATCCACAGCCACGCATCCCTCCTGGTTACACAGCGTGAAGCTCCGTGCAGGCGATGGCGCAGGGCCAGGTGTTCTTTACTACTGCTAGCAGAGGCCGGCTCAGTGTCCAGCTCAGGGTCCAGTTCAGGGCTGGCTGATCTAAAAATATCAGTTAAATGGCAGAGTCGTTCTTGTTTAAATTTTTTTCTTTCTTTAAAAATTTAAATTTGGGTTTTTTCATGGATTAGGGGATGCGTGTCATAGGATACCTAATTTTACAAAACACTCATGTCTTATAATTAATCTTTATTTGACATGACGTGACTCTCAGGCTTTGCTGCCTGGGAGAGCTGTGTCCAGGTGAGTAGCTGTGGCCAGAGCCGCCCAATAGAGAATCTGTGGACACCAGCCAGATGCCCCCTGACCTCAGGAGAAAGGAGAGCACTGAGGGTCCTAAGGCAGTCCACAAGAGTGAGCTCCATCAGGTGACGTACATGAGAAAGGACAATCAATGGCAGACCACGAGCAGCTGAAACTTACCACGATTCTGCACTCATGTATCTGAAGTTATTGTGTTTCCTCTCTGAAGGCTCCACTTTAGCAACTTCATGGGAGTGAGAAGAGTTAGCAGAGGTGGATGGAATGGTGCTCACTGCAGAGAACCAGTTCTGAACAGTCTATGAACTGATGCTAAAGCGTGTATAGCTAGGAGGGGTATAGTTGTGCTTAGTCAAATAATTATTTAGTGAGAGGGGTTTTTGGCAAGATATTTACTCTATGAATTAGACAATCCAGAAGATATATGGGATTATTATTTAGCTAAGATATTTTAAAATTAGTTCTTCTTAAGTTATTTTCCTTCATTTGCTGCCAAAACACATAAAGAGATCAGTTATTCAAGGAAGATTGAGTGGCAAGGACCTGGGAACCCCATTGGTCATTATTCTGCTGCCAGGCACCTGTCACCGTAGGCTTGAATAAGCATCAGGTTCAGAGTAATACGGGGCCCAACCCTGCTGAACTGTGTGCAGTTTTGAAATACTTTAAGCTGAGGATTAGAAATCTGATGATTATTTTAGAGAAACTAGAAGATATAGATTACATTTTTAGTCCAGAGAAAATTTAAAAGGCTGATACCTTGATTTGAACATCCACGACACACCCTCTTCTGGCCCAAGGTAGATGAACCCCCTTTCCATGCTCTGACCGCTAACCTTGTCAGTTATGCCAGGTTCTCGTGGGCATTTGTTACCCCTGCCCCTGAGTGCGTGGTGATGAACTGAGAATCCTCAACCCTATCTCAGCAGAACCATTTGAATGTTCTGAGAAGATTGCATTGATTAGTATTTACTACTCACCAATTTCCCAAATATGGGAATGATCACTCCCAAAATTAAAAGAAAAAATGAGGAGACCTGACTTTATATTCAAAATTTCCCACGAGCACAGTCATACACACAATGTATTTTTTACGTTGAGTTCTAATTGCTTAGCTTAGGGAACAGCAGTCCATCTCTGTGTCCTCCACTGCTGAGCTATCAAGTCTTGGGTTAAAGGTACCTCCTGTCAAAGGGCATAAGTTATGGGATGAGATGAGTGTATTGTAGGTAGGGAGAGGAAAAAGTTGGGTCACACACTTTGGTAAAGCATCAGCAGAGTATATGATAGTGAGAGGCAGTGTTTGAATCTTAAAATCAAATAACAGCACACAGCTTACGCACTTTTACCAAGTATAAGTTAAATGAAATTCACATGAAATGGAATGCCTCTTTTTGGTCTGAAGTACTGTTTAGACACAACTTAAATATCTGCCTGCTAATTTTTACAAAATAATTGTACTGACAGCATGGGGAAGGGTTAGTCCTATAGAGAAAAACAAGCCACTTTGGGTGAACCATGTGAGGACTGGGATTCGGGGGTTTGCACATCCTATTGGGCAAAGACCAGTGTGTTTCTATTCATGAAATAACTGACTGCCCACTCCATGGTTTGTGATGAACTGTACAAGAGGAGTAACTGATATCTCAAGAAACATGTGCATTTTACGCTTCTTTTTGGGTGCCAGGAATCAAATTCAGGAACTTACGCTTGTCAGGCTAGCCCTTGTGCAGCTGAGCCCTGATTCCATCAGAGGAGAAACACACAGGCCAGGTGGCTGAGTAGGAAAATTAGGCAGATGCTAGAAAATGTAGCATCATATCACCATGAAAACAACTTTGATCAACTTCAAAGAAAATTGTCCAGCCTTCAAATTTCAGTCAGCTCTATGGTTATCGTTTTCGAGGGTGGGAAACAGATTCCCAAGGAAGTAGCAAAATTTTCAGAGAGAAGTAGCAGAATTTCACTCAGAGCGGGACATTTTGTGAAATGAATTAATTGGTCTAAAACTCCATCTGTGTGTAATTATGCATTGTTTTGTTATGGGCCTCCATAGTTACAAAGTGGTGAGTTGTTAATCATTATATAAATTATGTAGTGAGTTGTCCATTCAAAGAGCACTGTTTGAGTGAGAGAGAGAAATCCTCTGTGACAAGTGTATTTCTCTTTCACATTCATTCAGTCAGGCAGTCACTAGCTTCTCTCAAGGTGGAACAGCGTGAATGAGATTTTCATTATTTTCAAGATATGAAGACAAATACGAGATAGGAGGACCATCTGCTCCAGATGGACAGTGCAGATCTGACATCACTGATCCTTAGTAACTTCAGTGACCTTTCAAAAGACATGCAGACATTAACCTGGTGGAATATATCTGACTTGTAATACGGTCATGATGCTGGTGTTTATGACACAAAGTTACACTTGGGATGTGAACGGTAACATATCCAAGCACCTTGACTCAAATGCAGGATCTGAAATCTTGGTAGTAATTGTGCAGCTAGTGATCCTGGAAGAGATACTTTTATGCCTACATCTGAATCGATATATTAAAATTTAAATTAATCTATTATATCTACTTAGGATTCATTCATTTAGTTTGTTTCATGAAAGAATAAATTCACCCACTGAAATCATATTCTAAGCAGAGTGTCATCAGAATGAACATTTTCTTCCAACAGGTTGTTGAGGACTCAACTAGTATGTACTTCTATCTAAATTTAATATGTTATATTACCAATATCACATGGTTATAAATCACTAACTTACACATGTGGAGCAACAACATATTTACTTTAGTCAAATTACAACTCTGGGTTCAAGGGTATCTCCTAATTTGTTTGTTTCTTGGTAGGAGACACCAGCTCAGGACCTTGAGCTTGCCAGGCAGGCGCTGGGCTGCTGAGCTGTATTCCCGGCCCCTCCTAATTGCTTTTAGGGTTTCCTTTTCAGATGCACTCTGAGAAAACGTGGTTTTAGTTTGTCACTTTACATTTGAATAGATCACTTTCCCTTAGGAAGCCAATCCCTACAGGAGTTCCTGAACTTGACCGTGGGGTCTTTGCCCAGGACACGCTCTGGGCTGACTCTGTGACCTGGGGGAGCACAGGTGCTCCTGTTTCCATCACAGCCCAGGGTCACAGGCAATCACAACTCAGCAGCAAACACGAGTTATGTGGTCCAGGATTCTTTCACCATAGTCAGTGGAATGAGGTCAGTTTGCTCTTGAAAGTCTACATTTTCCTCTGAAATAAATTTTCAGAGTGCAGATTCCAAAGTGCACCTCCCCTTGGTCTGCACATCAGAGAACTGCTCCCGCCCTGCTCCAAGGGGGCCCAGGACCCTGTTCCTCCTACACAGTGTCCCCACCAAGGCTCCAAGCCCTGCAGGGAGCTGTGTCCTTCGTACCCATGTGACCATCCCCAGGCTACCCGGGTTCTCCTGAGCCCAGCAGCTGAAGGCCCCCAGGCTGCTGCCCCGAGCTGGTCCTGGTGAGCCTGCTGCCTCCCAGCTGAGGAAGCTGCTGCCCACGTCCTGCTCTCTCTCAGCTCTCCCAAAGCCGAGCTTCTCCAGGCTCACACAGCCTTGCAGAGAGCATCTTTTAAAACAAAATGAAAGAAAAACGCCATCAGAAAGGTCTCAGAGAGTTTATGTATCACCTCTGCATTGTAGACATCAGAAAAATTCTGACTGTTGACCTGTATGCAATATGATGAGGTAGGCAATGTTGCCTTTCTTGTCTAACTTTTAAATCACACTCAGTTTTGGGTTTTCCATCTGAATAAATCTTTTCCCATAGACACACAGTTGATTAAATATAAATCCAAACAACTAGGCTGGGGAGATAGCTCAGTGGCATAAGTGCCTGCTAGGCAAGCACAAGGTCGTGAGTTTGATCCCTGGCACCGCAAAAAAATAATAATAATAAATAAATAAATCCAAATAATTGATGAAATATAGATCAACCTACTCAACAAAAATCCATCCTGACTAAATTCATCATTGGCCTCTTTTATCTCGATATGAAAGCCTCTGCAATAATATGTTGACATTTCCAATACTTCTGCTAAAGCCTTTTGCCTAGAATTGAATTAATACTACTTTTGAGAAATGGATATTTGAAATTCACCATACAATAAAACCACAGCAATGAGCAGGAACTCATTTAAGTATTTTTAAATTAGTAAGCCATAGGAAAGAATTTCTAATAAGGAGAAGATATTTCACAATCCACATGATTTTATTTTAATATGTCAAAGGAATCCTATATGCGAGAAACTGTACTTTATAATGATGATATAGGTACGTCTAAGTAGTGCTTTCTCCTATATCTGATACTGAAAAGTAGCAAATATTAAACATAAAAGATAGAGAAGAACTCGCAGGAGAGAGAGGTGAGGCAGACAGAGGGCAGATTCAGGGTTTTCTTAATTATCCTCTAAGTGGTGCAGAGCACTGCAGGGATCTGAGTGGAGAGAGGGCAGCACCATGATCACATGGCCTGGGCTGTGACGTGACTGCACCATGGAGTCCACGGACTTGTGAATTAGAGTTCACTGAGGGAGCAGCGATTGCAGAAGACACAGAACTCTAATGGAGATGGTGGAGGGAGGAGAGAAAATGTCCCACTGCTTCAGTGAAGCTGGAATCAGGACCTGGTGGGAAATCCAAGGGGGCCAGGGGAGAGAGGGTGGGAGGAGTGCAGAGGGTGTGGCCCTGCTCAGGCCTGAGCATCTGCAGACACTGTCCACTCCCTGACGGGAGAACCAGCGTGTTCTCAGCTCCCAGAGCCAGTCTTCTATTAATTCTCTTCCAGTAATGATGTCTTGCACATCACAGCCCTGTTGTAATGGGACTGGTTCTTGTGTGACACTGGAGCAGGAAAATGGGTCTATGCTTCATTCTGTTTTTAATTTATTGCTTTGTCTTTGACTGTTTTATTCAGAGACTATTTAACTCCATTCTTTTGTTGACTGAAAAGGTCACTTTTTACACGTCTTTATCTTTTTACCAGAGGAAGAATTTAAGTATTTTTCTTTTATCATAATAAGAGAAAACTTTGTCACATAAGTACCAAGAAAGGACTAGCTCAACATACATTACTAGTAAGAACAAATATCATTTAGCTACTCAATGATACTTTAAAAGTGTGCTGATCTCTATGTGTACAATTTTTTTTTTTACTCTAAAGAGTAAAAGAAGGATGACAAAGCAGTAGAGGATACACCGAATTACAGACAAAGTGGTAGGACATTATCAATGGTTGTTATTTTACCTGTTGGTATCTTCAAGATAGTTTCTCAGGAAAACTAATAGACAAGTAATAGTGAGTTACAGACAGAAATGGCAGGAAATTATCAATGGTTGTTGTATTATACCCTGGTTTCTCCAAAGTGGTCTCTAGGGAAAACAAATTGAGCTATACATGAGCGATCAATCAAATAATCATTGACCATTCTCAGTGGTTGTTGTTGAAAACACATAGTAACAAACATACATCCATTTACGAAATAGCATAGGA